TGGCAACGATGGCCATCGCGTACACCCGTATGGGTCGAGTGCTGTGGGACTCGCGGCTCAATGAACTCAACTGTAATATACAGTCAGATGTGATCCGAAATAAGCAGAAAGTCGTCCGAATGCTTATATGCGGTAAATATATCACTATTTTTGTCTACCCTTCACAACATCACAACCAATATGTAAAGTACAGTAAAGTACAGTACTTTACAATACAGTTCATTACACTATACCAGTGTTATTGACAAATTTACCCGAGTGCTCATCACTGCACTATACATTATTGTGGCCTGGCATTATTTACCGATAGATTCTAGTTTCATTATTTGCTTGGTAAATTAATTTCAAACGTTTTATAGCGGTGTTTATTCTCTCTGTTAGGCATTTAAAGAGCTGAATAAATTAAATAAAAATTAATTAATGCCAATCTTGTGATAGTTTTGTGTGTATTTTTCTCTCAAATGTACTCAATATATTTGGCAATAGGTTTTAGGCATAGCTTTAAATACATTATACAAAAAGTCAAAGTTTTTCAGAAATCAACAAAAAATAAATGTTTTATTTGATTTGGTTTTTCCTTTTAGTTGCCTTTTAATACGTTGAGCTTTAATGCCATTTAACTTTATTTACTATTTATATGACATGTATGAAGAAGTGGTGCACAATTTGATGCATAATCTAACAATTAAAATTTGTTCATTAAACACAATTAATATTTTCAATTGTGTTTAAAATGATTGAAAATTATATTTTTTGGTATTTTATAAAATAATTGTTATATTTTCATCAAATAATACTGTATTCTTGCACACAATTAACATAACAATTGAAACATAAATATTAATTTCATTTTAATTTGGGGACAAACCTCATAAATATTTTCAAGAATTATATTAAATATTTATGTAATTATTTTTGCGAATAAATAAAGTATACATTTGAAAACGTGATGTTAATATAGAAACATAAATAATTACGCAGATTTTAATTTTTATATCTTTTTCTATGACATTATGATACAGTATATTAATTTAACTGATTGTGATTATATAAAAATTTACATTTAAATTACTAGTGATCACTGTATTTGGCATATGTTGGCTGCCATACCACTCATACTTCTTGAGCACCTATATCTGGCCCGATATCATCAAAACCAAACAAATCAAACACATCTATCTATTTATATACTGGTTAGCGATGGCTAACTCTCTCTTCAACCCAATTATATTGTTTGTTATGAACAAAAGGTTTGTCACATAATTAAATAATCTGTTATTATAATTAAGAAATAAATAAATAAATTTCTATTAAATAATTAATTAAATAATTAAGAAATAAATAAATAAATTTCTATTAAATAATTAATTAAATAATTAAGTAATAAAAAGCCATAAATTAACATAACTTATATGGATTAAGTAAACCATACAATAAAATTCAGTTTAATAATGAAACAATATATGCCACCAATGGATAGGTTCCGGAATTGTATCAATTATTACATGCGATTCCAGTGTCTGACCGGACGTACCATTCAATTGGATTCACGGGTTTCTGTCGTTTCAAACAGCGCTCAGAAGAAGTCATCGAAGAAGAAAAGACAACAAAATAATCACAAAAATAATAATAAGATTAACAATAAATCGACGGAAGTTTCCTTATAAGTGATTACAAATAATCCGTTTATATTATTAATCTATTATTACATCTAATAAATACATTATTAATAGACAGACAACGAATTGTTATTTTTACAAAACAATATTTATTTATTATAAATGTATTATTATTAAGAATGAAACAATAATTATAATCAATATACTGTATGTTAATATTTTTGTCATAGATTTATTTGATGGATATTGATTGTAAAACATGTATTAAATTAATATTAGTTATTTAAAAATCAAATAAAAGTCATTTTAATCGTCACATATTTGTCTCAATTTACTTTAAATTCAAAACAAAATCAAAACAATATATAAAATGCACTTTCAATTGCAAGATCCATTTTGTTTGAAAAATTAATTTTCGATTGAAAATACTTTTTAACGCAATGTTTTAACGCAAATCAATGTTTACCTCTCATGAAAAATTAATGACTCGAATTAATTTATTGCAATAGATTTAGTGATCAATTTGTATAGAAATAATATACAATTGTAATATAAAATATGTATAAAACAGAATTAATTGTATCCCGATACTATTCAAGTCTATCTATTTATCTACAGTAAAGTCTATTTTATCAGAGTCTCAATTGAAAGGGAAAACTAGTGAATGGATTGAATAGGAAAAAACATTGGCTTTTAAGATGAAATAATACTTTTGTTGAGATGGTATCCAATTATAGGATAGAGTTACTAGTGATTGAAAACTAGGCAGTAGTATATCAAAGGAAAAGTTTTACGGTTTATATAAAGGGATTTATACCAAACGATAAATACAATTATCGTAATTACACTCCGATTTTCATTTTCAATACACATTGAATAACAAATTCTATAAATATATTGATTACCCTAAAAACCCACAGATACGCCGCGGCTTATCTGATGAAAAAAGTGCATTTAATGAAAAAATTAGAGAATCGGCTTATCTGTGGGTTCGGCTTATTTATGAGCATATTTAATTATAAAATATGTTAATTAAAAACAATTTTGATTTAAAATTAAAATAATCATATTTAATAAGATAGTTTAATTACAAAATACAGTTAATTTAAAGCTTATCTATGGGTTCAGCCTATCTATAGTTCCGCATATATATTCACAATTCCTATTATCAATTTTCATTTCATATTTCCAAATTGCTTATCAATTGATAATAAAATTGTGATCATAAAATTATAAAATGATCATGGCAATATATGAATATGATATTTCCAAAAGCCTTTATATACAGTATGATATGGAGTAAAAGAGTTTATACCACTACACTACATAGCTAAGGACTTCGAGTTTCTTAGCACTGGGATACTTATTGCGTGTTTTAGCCATTAGATCACAATTACAATCACAATTAAAACAGACACTGAATTAGACGACTATTCAATGACTAATAAGACTCAAAACGTAAACCAGTATATCACAATAATTACGTTTCAAAACTTAGGTTATATTAAATTCGGCTTATACATAGGTACCGGCTTATCTGTGGGAACATTTTACTTTCAAAATTTTATGATCCGGCTTATACGTGGGTGGGCGTATCTGTGGGTTTTTAGGGTACATGTTTTGTGAGTCACTAATTGTGAAAATATTGCAATGACTTTACCACTTGTTTAGCATAACTTAATAGATAACAAACAATATTATATTATGTGCTTACGATGTATGCATTACGTGACATTAATATATATTAAATTCGGCTTATACATAGGTACCGGCTTATCTGTGGGAACATTTTACTTTCAAAATTTTATGATCCGGCTTATACGTGGGTGGGCGTATCTGTGGGTTTTTAGGGTACTATTTTTAGAAAAATACTTTACTTTTTACTGCGAAAAATTTACATTTAAATATAATCTATACATATATAGATAACATACAGTACATGTATTGTTTATAATATTATATAACTTATAAGTTGTTATTTTGTGTATCATTCAAAAGTTCTTTATCTTTCTAACCCATTATTTTAGATTAAAATAAAAAATAAAAGTCTGTTGTAAATGTGAAAATAATCGTTTCACTAAGGTAAACAATAATAATATACTTGTTGTAATTAGCTCAGTGAAACTATATGGTTTAGAGAGAGAGAGAGAGAGAGAGAGAGATGAGATTATATAATATACNAGAGAGAGAGAGAGAGAGAGAGAGAGAGAGAGAGATGAGATTATCATGAGCAAATTTTAGAAAATAATATTTTACGAAAAATTATTTTTACAAAATATTCTGTAACTTATGATAAAATAGTAATATTCTTTGGTGATTAATAGTGTTAACAAAAATAACAACAAATTTTACACAAATGTCACTTATTATTAATGAAAAAAATACAAACTTTTTTATTACAAGTCTATATTGTCTAATATCTGCTACGATTAAGCCTTAAGCAAATTGTCATTGTATTAAATTAAATCACTTTTACTTATATACTGTCTGTCTGTGTAATACTTTTATTCAATACATAATACAATACAATTCACACCAATCGATAGCCTAATCAATTGACGGCTATTCCCAGAGATCGATGGCTTTTATCGCACATTGAGTTCAAAGCAAAGCGAAAAACAATAAAATAAAATTAGATTAAAAGTGTTTTCTTCAAAAAACCAGACATTTTTGTAGAAATAATTGGATTTACTATTAATATAATTCGGAGACAAAATGACAACAATTTTTTTTATACATTTAGAATAAGATTGTTTGATATGAATTGGATATTCATAAGGGATTTGTGACAAAACAATAAAATCAAAAATGCTATCCCTATTGAAAATATGTGTTACAAATAGTTACTAACGTTTCTATAATTGGTTTCCTGACAACTCGTGTGAATAGTCTTTCGGTTATAAATGGCTATAATTTTAGACATTCTAGACATCTATTCATAAATATAAAGAAAAATAATATAATAGAAAAATAGCCAAATATATATGAATATAAAAACTATAAACTTGGTTTAAACATTGCAAATATATTACAATATTTTAATTTAAACAAATAATTTGAATAAATGTATAATTGTTTTAAAATAAAAAGTTTTAATATTATATTATAAAGAGTAACATTAATATAATTGTGCAACTATACTAATGTTGAGTTTGCGTTAGTTTAGTACAAATAGATAGGATTTTTGTACGAAAAAAAACAAATAGATTTGCAAATAAGTTGAAATCTTATTTTAATAGTTTACAAACTATAATTTGCATAGAAATAAATGCCCACATTTACATTATTTTAATATAACTTCTATAATGTATTTTATATGAAATCATTTTTAATATTATGACAACATTAATGTATTTCTTATTTGCACAAAAAATACAACCATTTCTATTGGCAAAAAAAACTTTTATAGCAACAAATAA